TATATATATACTGTATTAACTATAATAATAATAATAGTAAATTGGTCATGTGACTACAGGACATAAATAAGGGTGTCCAGGGAGTCCGGGGGATTAATCGTCAAATTTAATCATTATCGGCTAAATACCCCACTTAATCGTGATAAATGTTTTTGCCAATATAGCTCAACCCTAGTTGAACCTGATTTCAATTAACTGTTCTCTAAAAGTTAAAGTTTGGGACTGACTAGAGTACTGATGCACTAACAGCTTGTTGTTGCCTTAAAATAACTCTAATCTCAAAATTTTCCACAACAATTCAAATGAATGCTATTTTATGTTTAAACTTTTGTCTTTTTGCATTAGACTCTTATTCTAGTAAGAATGTTGAGAACACAGTGATTATCAACAGCAGAAACATTACTAGTATTCATTAAATAAAAATGCAGCATTTTTAAAATAAAAATTACAGAAGATGAAAAAGTCAAGTCAAATACTACATTTAAGATTGAAGCCCCCAACTATTACAACTTAATAGTAAATCTGGCATCATTTATACTAGTCAGAATGTAATTAGAGACTACTCAAATAGGTATTTTGCCTAGTCAAAATATAATCAGAAATATCTGAAATTATTACTATGTCTAATCATAAACCTATTTCAGATATCTGAAAAGTGAACAATGGTTGGGGAAACACTATTCTTAAAAATAAGTTGCAGTGCACTTAAAAAAACAACATTTTAATATGTAAGTAAATAACAATGTAATGTGAAATGTAAGGTGGTGTGAAAGTTTATACAGTAATTTTTTGCGTTAACTGCAATAAGTTTGAGATTATAGTTGTTTTAGGATGGCAAGAGTCCTTTTTGGACTCGGGCCAAGTGGGGCCCAGTCCTGGTCCTCGAGAGCCACGTTCCTGCATGCTTGAGTTGTTTTCCTCCTCAGCATGTCTTCAAGTTCTGCGGACGCCTTTTAATCACTCATTCATTCAAATCAGGTGTGTCAGAGCAGAGAAACATCTAAAACATGCAAGATAGTGGCCTGCGAGGCACCATTGGACTCGGGCCTAGTTAAAGTAGCTGTTAGTTTGTCACTTCAGTCAGACTTTAACTCTTAATTGAAGCTGTTCATCTACTACAAGTAAAACAATAATTTAAATAACTTTCCATTAACCACACTTTAAAAGATTGAAACTTTCTCTTTAGGATGATGTGGCATTCTTATCTTGACTATGTTAATGTTCTGTCACTAGGGTTATTATTAAATTATTAGTTTGTAAAATCTTCTGGAAATATAGTTATATTGAGAAGGATTTATCTTTATGGGCAACAAACTGGGCTTCAGCTAATGACATTATATATGCAAATAAATCCAAATAACCGATACCGAATTCAAGACATTCTAGTGAGTGCTGGTTTTTTTGCGACTGTAAATAAAAATAAATATTTTACCTTCATCAGATAATACACTGTGTTTTTAACATTCTGTATCAAATAATATGTAACGCACAAAAGCAAGCAAGCAGCCCAAGTGTGCTTGGATGTGATTGGCCAGTTCCCAAAACAAAAGAACAAATAATGGAAGTAAGAGGGCTCCTGTACAAACTGAGCTATAGTTTGACTCTGTATATTTGTTTGTAGCTATATTTTTATAGTCAAACAATCTGTATTTATTTATTTATTTATTTATTGTTTCAGGCAAACCCCAAAGTATTGAAAACTCAGAGCGGGTACAGCTGTCTGGGACCTACAATGTTAGGAAAGGGAAGCTCCAGCTGCCAGTCAACCGCTGGACCAAACGGCAAGTCATCCTCTGCGGCACCTGCCTCATCGTCTCTTCTATCAAGGAGAGCCAGACGGGGAAGATGCACATCCTGCCTCTCATCGGGGGGAAAGTACGTAAAACGTCCACAACAGGCTGTCTCTGCATCATAAAGCCATAAAGTCGTTTTACTAGCACAATGACCTGATAAGTCTGCGTTTTAACCCTCAGGACATGTGTCCATGTGTACTAATACACGTCACCTTAAATGACTGTTTGTCCTGTACTTTGTGTTTGTCGGGGATGCTGCATGCTTAGGCTGCATTCTTTAGCTTTAAACCTAGATAGTAAAGAAATGATAAATGCAAATGCAGAACATTTTTGTGYATCCGGCAGAAATGTTTTGTTCAGTTCTAATCCAAAGTCATGACATGCTGTAATTATTATGTGTCATAGAGTTTATTTGTTTTTTTTATCTAGCTAGCCCAGAGTCTGTCTTGTTTGATTTGACCTTTATCTGTCGACTGATTTATGTGCATGCGTGCAAAATAAGCTCCTAGGTGTTTGTGGGAAAAGCATTATCTAGTTGTATGCCTGGCACAAAGGACACTCTACCACACCCAGTTTCTAAACATTTCACACACACCCCCACGTGACTCTGCATGTGCGTGTGTTTGTATGGGGCGAGCTTGTGTGCTGTTCTATTTAATCTCCATAACTGAACAGCCATCATTCACCGAGTGTGACTCTAAATTTTTTTCGAAGTTGTTTTGCTCATATTTGTCGCTGCTCTTGTCACACACTTGCGTTTATCATATGATCGTGCATGCCTTGCATAATTTTCATAACTTCACTGGTGACTAAACGTCTTCACCCAGCTGACATTTAGTGGCTTATTGCTTCCACAGAAACAGTTAAATAAGATCTCTCGAGGCACCTATGTGTCAGCCTTCCCCCTCTGTTTTATTTATGTTTATTTTCTGATTTTGTCATTCTTAGAGATCTTTATTTATTCTCCGTGTGTGGTCAAATATGTCAGTATTTGAAACTCCAGCGTCAGTCTTGTGTCTGTCTTGTTGAAGGTGGAGGAGGTGAAGAAGCACAATCACTGTTTGGCCTTCAGCTCAGCAGGACCTCAAAGTCAAACCTACTACGTCAGCTTTGACAGCTTCACGGAGCACCTGCGCTGGCACAGACATGCTGCCAAGGTACTGTACGTTTGTGAAAGAGAAGTGAGGAAGAACAAAAGCATATGGTTCTCGGGCACTTCTTGATTGTCAGTTGGACGTTCAGTTGTGCTACACACATCGCAGTCCTGCTGCTGTAAGGCTAAAAAGACAGACTACTGCAGCTAAGTTCGCCAAGAAAACATTGTGTAAACATAAACAAGAGTTATTTATTCACTAAATGTGAGCTGATTTTAAATAGGAAGCAAAAGCAAAATGAACTCAACTTTTTGTAACGTAATCAGTGGTGTCCTGATCCCAGTTTTTCTCAAACCGAGATTGAGTACGTTTGGGTACCTGCTGATTATCGAGTACTGACGCAAAATACTTACTGAGTAAGAACCTAAACATCACACAATGATTTTAAAAACACATTTCATATATTTAGATCAAGGTGGCTCTCCTTCCTTATAGGCCTGAGTCCCTCTGACTGTATAAAATCAAATATACAGCAAATATACATATCATACATATACTGCTGCAAATTTCTGAATACATTAAAAAACGAACATGATTTTTGTATAAATTTCTTACACATGAAACAGACAAATATTTCACTTGAAATGTAAACTGTAACACATTTAATAGAATATCATTACCAGTATCCCAGTATTGTAAGTGATATTGGAATCAGTTTTGGGTATCAGGGCATTTTGTACTTGTAAAAACTTGTATTGATATTGGGACACTAATAAACAAATTATCATTATTTAAGCTAACAACTTCCCCAAAGGCTGTTGAATTCCAAATAGCGACACAATAACAACAAAAGTTTTAATAGTAGTAGAACCCATTTCTCTAAGTAAAGGCCTGGAAAATGTCATTTCTGAGAGCTCACAACATTTTTTATAAGCATAATAAAGATACATACGCTGTAGTTAAAAAATGCTACGAGAATTTCTAAATGTCCACGTTTAACAGTTCAAAATAAGTTTAAGTAGTCCTAAATGAAAAAAACAAGTATTTTACTTTGCATGTTTTATCTACTTGAATATTATTTTATTCTAATATTATTATTCTAATACTCAACTTGATTATCTACCATTAAAAATACTTAAAGAGAATACTGATATAACAAGGATGTTAAAATACTGCTGCCCAAGTTCACGAATAAATATACTAAAACCCATCACTGACATAAACAACATAGAAAAATTGTTATTCTTGTTTTACTAGACTTAACCGCTGCATTTGATACAGTAGACCACAGCATTTTGTTGATGCGTCTACAGCACCAGGTAGGCATCAGTGGCACTGCCCTGGAGTGGTTAAGGTCCTATCTGGCAAACAGAACATTTTCAGTAAAAATTGCAGGGTTTGAATCCTGTTCTGCTCCTCTGTCATGTGGGGTTCCCCAGGGCTCAATTTTKGGGCCTTTGCTTTTTTCTCTGTACATTCTGCCTTTGACCTCAATTTTTAGAAATCATGGCATCTCCTGTCATTGCTATGTTGACGACTGCCAAATCTATGTACCTCTAAGGYRAGTTGAGGCTTGGTCCATTAAACCTCTTTTARCATGTCTCAATGATCTTAAAGCTTGGATGGCCCTAAATTTCTTGCATTTTAATGAAAAAAAGACTGARATACTTGTTTTTGAACCTAGTGGAGCATGCCCRAGCMCTCCAGTTGWTTTAGACCCCCTGGCAATGTATGTCAAGCCCACAGCTACAAACCTTGGTTTTAAGATGTACAGTGATTTTAAACTTGATAGTCAAATAAGGGCTACAGTTAAGTCTAGTTTTTATCACCTGAGAAAAATAGCAAAGATAAAATCTATTCTTTCAAAGCAACAGTTCGAAACAGTGATCCAYGCTTTTATTTCATCTCGACTGGATTACTGTAACTCACTCTACTTTGGAGTAAACCAGTCATCCCTCGCACGTCTGCAGCTGGTGCAGAACGCTGCTGCCAGTTTTTTAACAGGAACACGTAGAAGAGAGCACATCACCCCGGTCCTGGCTTCCCTCCACTGGCTGCCTGTGTGTTTTAGAGTTCATTTTAAAATCCTTCTGTTTGTTTTTAAGGCTTTAAACAACCTCGCCCCATCTTATTTAACAGAGCTTCTTCACCGTTACGCTCCTCCTCGGTCACTCAGGTCTGCTGACCAGCTGCTCCTGGTCATCCCCAGTTCCAAACAGAAGCTCAGAGGAGATAGGGCCTTCTCTGTTAGTGCCCCTAAACTGTGGAACGCCTTGCCCTTGCATGTTCGACAGGCCCCTTCACTGTCCATTTTTAAAACTCATTTAAAAACTTATTTTTTCTCACTGGCCTTTAACCCAACAGATTTGATTTTACTCAACTTTTACTGTATTGGTGCTGATTTTACTTATTTAACTGTGTGATTTTATTGTGTTTTGTATAGAGTTTTTATTTTTGTGTTCAGCACTTTGTTTCAGCAGTGGCTGATGTTATAGCGCTTTATAAATAAAGGTTGTTGTTGTTGTTGTTGATGATGATGATGATGATGATGATGATGATGATGATGATGACGATGACGATGAAAATGCTAATCTCAGGTGTGCTTCAGATGACCCGAGTGTTATGTAAAATTTTAGGGTCATTTTGTGGAAATGTGATAAATAAAATCAGGAAAAAGAATCGGTGGTCAAACATGGTGGAGGCAWTATTATGGTTTGAGAGAGTTTTGCTGTCTCAGCACTTGGAAGCTTAGATATTACTGAGGGATCAATGAATTTTATCATGACATTTCACAGGAGAGTTTCAGGGAAGCAGTTCATAACCTGTAGGTAATAATAGGTTATAGGATGCAACAACAAAACAGCACTTGAGGGGGCGGGGGAGATAATAATTGCTTAAAAATTGCCTCTGCCCAATTGAGACTTGATATCATGACCTAGATTGGCCGGAAGGGGGGAAAAAAACATAATTCAATTTATGTTTAATGAGTTTAGTCAAATCATGTTTGTTTAAAAGACTTAGATGAAGATTAGACCTCTTCATCAGAAATCCTTGTAATTTTCAAAGGGTTCTCAAACCTTTGCTCTCAGCTGTGTAGTGCCTGTAGTGTATGAACTGTGTCTCTTGGCCCTCTCACACATGCACAAACACCACTCATGTCTCTCATTTGAACTCAAGTAGGGCATAGCCAGAAAACCTCTTTTCTAAATATTAACAGGGACATGCATGTCACCGGCACCCGGAGGGCCACTCAGAATAGAAGCCTGGAAAGAGGCAGCACGTGCTGCAGTGATGACTGCTGAGCCTCAGGCTAGCTCCACTCCAAAAGGCTCAAGTTCACACACACACTGTAGTATTTCTCCTTTAAGATGAGACAAGCATGTACAATGGTATTTAAATCTCAGATGGCTGCTCACGATTTTTAAGATAAAACCAAAAGTATCGAAAGCATCTGAATTAGCTTTTACAATATTAAWATGTATAATATGGAGTTAGAAGCCTCTTGAGCTTTTCCTTAACTAATTTTGACTCTCTAATCCTAAAACTGGCATTTGACCCTCTAGCRTCAGTAAAACTGCTGTTGTGTGTTGATGAGGTGATCTTTGTTTTCAAACTTCCCTTCTTCTTGCACTCCTATATTCATCCAGATGGTGTCACAGAGAATCAACTCGGTTGATCTGTCCTGCTGCAGCTTGGAACATCTTCCTCCCAACCTCTTCTATAGCCACGACCTTACCCACCTCAACTTCAAACACAACTTCTTGCCTGCAGACCAGCGCCTTCAGCAGCTGCAAAGGTACAGTTCAATCATAGGCCAGACTAAAATACGTTTATGTGGATGTTTCTTTCTAGGCTGAGTGACCTCGAAATACCAAAGCCACTTTGTTCATACATGTTTGGGTTTTTCATGTTACCCAGTAATCAACCTGTAAACTGCACAATCATTTTAAGCCAATGGTAAAAATAAACATGAGCAAGCATAGTATGTGCTAAGACAAGACATAGAAGATCACTTCAGTTAGCTAGCTTGTCTCCATCTCTTCAGTTGTAAAATTGTTTCCATTGTTTTTATCATCGACTGTCTGTCTTTTTAAAACAATTAACAAGATCAGAATGAYGGAATGTAAAAACAAAACTTGCCGTCTGTGGACGCTGCTACAGTTAATTTGAAATGAAAGCCACCTGGGTGCCCAGTCACTCAGTATCTCGTCTCAACTTGGAGATTGGTATTGCATAAGGGTAAAGGCCAGCGCTTGTTAGCTAATGTGCTAGCTTTAGACGTATTACACAAACAATATTGTAGCTGCTGTTTTTTTTTTTTTTTTTTTTTGGAAATCCAGTTTTTTAGCTGGAAACTGGTGACCATATTAAATTGGTATGTCACCAGTTAGTAGGTCTGGCTCTTTTCTTGCTTGCTAAATCTAGTAAAAAATAACAAGTAACCAAATCAGTCAGCATTTTCTTAGTTGGTAGCTGGATTTTCAGCTCAGCTGGGGACTGAGCTTCTGGGAGGAGCTTTAGGTAAATAGGCAGTGCTCTGTACCATCAAGCTTTTAGGCTGCGCTGAATGGCTACCACAGGAGGTTCAAGGATTTCTCAAACATGCGTGACTGTGTYAAAGAAACACTCTGGGTATGTTTTTGATGAGGTAATGACACATCAGCTAGAACAGCTAAAGATAATTTAGGAAGGTTCTGGCTGTTCATTTCTATTGCATTCTGTTTATAATGTGTTAGGCTACGTTCACACTGCAGGCAAATGCGACCCATATCCGAGTTTTTTTTAATGACAGTCTGAACGCTAGCCTGGCCCTTCCCTTCCTACGCAGTTCCGCTCAATTCTAGTTTCCCTTCACTGCTCCGTCTGGGATTTCTCCCATAGACAAGGATTTCGCTGGCAGATTTTTAGCCGAAACAATCAGAGAACAGAACRTCGATTTTCTGCGCAGTGTCTGCTAGTTATTTTAGCAGTGGAGGAAGTAAATGAAGCCAGTCCATGTTGATAAGGCTTCCAAATTAAATTAAATTTGTCTGACAAAGCAGCAGCTCTCATTTACAGTCGTCTCATTGGGCTCGGTAATTTTCTCCTCCCAGTAGGATTGTTTACAACACGCGCCATTTCCAGTTAGCTTCTTAGCTTAGCCTCCTTCACAGCAACATTCAGCAGAGGCCACGCCTCCAGCAAGAATCACTTCTCTATGGCCGCGAGTCCAGACACTCGTACGAAGCACAGTGAAGGACATGGGTCTGGTTTTTACCGGGCCATCTGAATGCGACAAATTCGATTTTTTCAATTCCGACCCAGGCAGTTTCAGTATGTGGTTTTAAATCGGATAYATATCTGATGTTTTCAAAGTGACTGCAGTGTGAACGCTCATGTCACATACCATCCGACTTTTTTCATCAGGGGGGTGGGGGTGAAAGATCGATAAGACACTAACCTCAAGTTATGCTGTTTAAATCTGTAGCTCCATGTGTTTACAGCTCCAAAACACAAGTCCAGTTGCTTCGTCTTTTTACTTTTAGTTTTCCATGTAGATAGTAACGTCCAGCCTCCGTCGCGGAGCGTATCGATCCTAAAGTTACTCAGTCGATACTTTATTTCCAGCTTGTTGTTTCGTTCAAAAATAAAAAAGCTTCACTGGAGCATCCCGGTCAGAGGCAGGTTCAGATACAAACACCGAACTAAACAAGCACATCAGATAATTATTTMATCGGCTCTGAGATTAAACAACAGCTTCAGATTCGACATGCAAAAGATAGCATCCATGCTAGCTCTGTAAACAAACAAGCCGGCTGAATGAGAAGTCACGTCTTTACTGCGCATACATGTCACATCAGTGCTGTGTAGCGTTCACACAGGAGTCTGATGCAGGTCGCATTTAAAATGTAATGTGAACATTCACACCAAAACATCGGCTTTTTTTAAAAAAATTGTTTTTAGTGGTATTGGGTTACACGCTGTTAAAACATAGTGTTAAGGAAAGTGAGATCTTATAAGTCAAGACATTTCAGTGTTCTTGAGATGATTTGTTTTGGGTGATTTCAGTTTTGTAGTTTTCAAAAAGCTTAGCGTAACTTAACCCACGAGGAAGTGGGATGGGCTCTTGTACAATGAGCAGAGCGACAAGACGCTCACAGTGAGATTTTACTGGAATCAGCGAGTTTGGCTGGCTGATTTGGACGGATTTCTCTTTCAATTCACGAGCCATCGTCCTGAGCAATCTAGAGCTTGGACCGTTGGCACACACAGACCAAAAAATAAAGCCAGAGCTGTAGCAGGCTAGCCCAAAAAGAGCCCAGAGCACAGAAGGATACACGAGTCTGCAGGGAAGCTTTTAATATGCCTGGCCTCTCTCACTCTGTCTCTCTGTGGTCACCATCTGCTGCATGCTTATCATGGTCCCAGATTAAAGACAACAGGCAAGATACTGTATACTGCATGTGTGGTCATGTGCACGTGAGTACTTATATATACACTGGTATGCTTGTACACCTGTCACAGTGACTCTTTGTAAAGATTATCAGCAGAAGAAGTCTGACATTTACCAAGGAACTTGTGTAGATCTGCCTGTGTGCTGGATGGAGTAAATGTGTAAGAGCCGCTTGCTTGTATGGAACTAAAACTTTTGCTCCAGGCCACAGATTTAGGGTCAGTGCATACAAAGTCTTGATACAGTATGACGTCCTTTGTTTTAGCTTTTATTTATTTATTTTTACTTTTAATGTGGCTTCATTGGAGGAATCTGTGTTTGTATGGACGTGCGTATATAATTTTACACGCTTCTGCTGTTTCTTCCTGATGAATGCAGTCAGGATTTTACGTCTCCCTGCCACAGTAATTTTATCTTGACTCATCTTTAGTTGTATATTTTTCTCGTAATCCCCAGGATAATGACTTGTGTTTTAAAACAAGATGACATAAGCGGAAACAACTCTTTTTTTTTTTAATCTTTGAGTGAAAGCTGCATCGCTCCCCTGCTGGTCAAGGGAGATAGTGCCTATTTAGCTTTGCCGAACCTAAGTAGGCTCATCCGCATTTGACCCAGCATGACAGAAAAGGAGGTCAGTAATGAGCAAGAGATGAATAGTTTTGCTGAAAATAGAGGGATTTTGACAGAAACGTGCAGCAGAGTTACTTGACTTAGCTTTCCCCCTGAGAAAGTTGTGTCAAAAAAAGCTGTAGTCAAGAACAATGCTACATTGTGTGTCACCTTGATGAACATGGCTGTGTGTGTACTGGTGTGGACTGTAGTGTGAGAGCTGGCTTTTGTTGCTTTGGACCCACAGTTTGAGTCCTTTTTTGTCTGTCAGTGGAAGCGTGCTAACCTGCATAATGCCTCTTCCCTTTTCTCTCCTGTCTTTTGGTCCAAATACAAACTAATGAGTGATTTGCCAATCATTTCCCTGGTATATTGGCTCGTTCCTCTGTTGTGGGACTGCCTTCCCAACATGCATTTCTCTATGACACAGAGGTCACCACTCAATAAAAGGAGTGGCTGAAGTTCTGTGGACCTTTGGCCTTTTTTGGTTTACTCATGAATGAATGTTAAGGTTGTCATAAACAGCCCAAATGTCATAGAGTTGAAGGCGAAAGGGTAAAATGGGAGGGGTAAAAAAAGAGCAGATATCAGGATACAGTGGATGATATAGGGTTGAGTGAAAGGATTAAAGTTTTACTGTCTCCCTCTTTGGGACTTGGCAGTCTGTACTGTGGGGTTTATCAGAGATTTACCCAAAACAGAGCAGCTGCTCACAACAGCTATAAATGAAGCTGATAAATGTAGAGTTCTTGGCTGGACCCTTGAAATAATGGTTATTTTAGGAGCAATTAGGTTTCAGCTGAATAAGCTAGAAACACAGCATTAAATCACTATCTGCATTATATTGATGTTTCCCCCCTCTTATTTAGACCTTTATTTAACCAGGAACRGGACCCTTGAGATTTCAAATCCCTTTTCCATGAGTGCCCTGGTCAAGACAAACAACAGCTCAAAATGGCACTAATTATGAAACATGTCGATGTGTTTAATTACTGTAAACATMACAATGAACCAATGAGAAAATCATTAAAACTGGAAACTTTGCAGCTTAAAAGACAATTAAGCTATATTAATTAGGTCACTGAAAGAGTCATCAAAACATAAATACTCAGATGTTTCAGGATCTGGAATGTAACAGCAATGCCCACACTTTTTTTTTTGTCTTTTTTCCCCTTTTAAAGCTTCTTAGAGGAACACATGGGTCTCAGTTACTCACTGATTTTGTCCTTTCTGTTTTTATCTCTGTGTTAATTTTCTTTTGTTGAAAGTAAAAAGGCAGTGGAACATCAGGTTAATGAGGGTCTTAAGGTTGCTTCTGGTAAATCCCCATAGGGCTTTTCATTTTCCTTTTAATCGGAAACAGAACATCTGGATCATCTTTAAATATCTGCTTTTCGTAACACGTCATCGGCAACATTGAACACTATGTCTGTCAGTGACAGAGATTAACCAATATTTACACCAAGGGGGTCTTTTTTGAGCAAAGGCAAAGATTTTGATTTACTGGTGTGGTTATGTTCCAACCTTCACCTACCTGATTGAAATAATGTGATCCTGCATACAAGCAACTGAAATGAGCTTCGTTTGTAAGGCGGCTGGGCTCAGCCTTAGAGATAGGTTGAGGAGCTCCATCGGTGTTGGGGGGCTGCTGCCCCTCTGCATCAAAAAGAGTTGTTTGAGGTGGTTTGGGCATCTGTTTAGGATGCCTCCTGGATGCCTTCGCTTAGAGGTRCTCCAGGCACATCCCACTGGTAGGAGGCCCCGGGGAATATCCAGGAATCACTGGAGGGATTATGTATCCTCGGGRTCCTGCAGGATAAACTGGAATGTGTCACTGGGGAGAGGGATGTCTGGATTTCTTTCAYTGATATGTTGCCTCTGCGATCTGACTTTGGATAAGGGGCAGAAGATAGATAGATTGGTCTTTTTGGGGTCTCTTATAAGACATTAGAGACTGGTGAATTCCATAGCCATGTTGTAGAAAAGGTCAATGGATCTTTTATTGAAGCACAACACTTTTGAGTTCAGATGTTATAACATGGGCTGTGAATACTTACACTACTGCCATATTTAAATATTATTTTCAGATTTTGTTCTGAGCGCTGTGTGTTTATATTAATGATAGTAAAAAAAAACTGAACAAGAGCGTGAAACATAAAACCTAAAAAAATTTCAAAACATTGTCAAATCTCTTATTAATTTTATAATTCTCTTAGATCCTGATGATGAGCCTGTTTCCAGTTGATTCCAGTGTTCATCAGTCAGACACAGAGTTAGAAGACAGGTTTACCCTTGCTTAACAGTCTGAAGAGGTCAATTTAATGGAAAAATATTTCCCCGCTGATGGCTGGGGTCACCCTCAGCTGGAATTACCTGGCCAACCTTAATCAATAACCCTGACGTCTTGGTTATCTCCATCATCATAATCCACTGTTCGAAATTGTTTAGCTTGTGTACACAGTGAAAAATAAAAAAAAAATCAAGAGTTTGGATCTGCAGCTGCTCCACCGTGGAGCACTGCACTGCTCTACCAGTGACAGATGATAAAAGGTTGTGTGTGTAGATGGATAAATAAAGAGAGTCGTTTCGCACRGTTCACTTTGTTTTCTGCTCTCCCTCCTCCCTGAGGGTCCAGCTCCTGTGAAGGCTGGTGTTATGCCATAGGAGGGCACTCTGGCTGAATGCCACTGGCTCTTGGTGTTTTAATGAACAACACAGGTGCACAYGCACTTCTTGTTTGCTCAACAACCAAATATGATGGTTTGGCATCACCCGGGCAGCTTGGACTCCTTATGGGCTGAATCCAGCTGTGTTTTTCACTTAACTAAATATATTTAAGCTGCACTTTGCTTCAGTGCTCATGAATATATTAATGAGTATGTTATACACGTTTGCAGTATTAATGTTTACAAGATGTGAGTGTGCTCTATAATCACCTTGCCTTATTTCTAACCCTCTRTCTCTTTGTTTTCAGGTTTTCTCGCCTTCGCAGCCTCAACCTGTCCAATAACCACCTCGGTCAGTTCCCGCTTGCCATTTGTGACATCCCTACCCTGACGGAGGTCAATCTCAGCTGTAACTACCTGGCTTCAGTCCCCAGTTCTGTGGGAGCCATGACAAAGTATGTAACAACAGCAGGAAGCGCAGTAATCAACAAAATGTGTACATTTTTTATTGAGCCAGATGTGCAGTTCTTGATATGTCAGGTATAATGGCCTCTTCTACTTTTTCTTTTGTTTCGTGTGCTTGTGTTTACCTTTTACTTTCTGTTTTTAGCTGCTTGAAATGCAGGTTATTTCCAAAGTCTTTCCACGATCCTTTCTGCTAACAAGAATTGGTGCTTGTTTGCGTTGATGCAGAATCAGGACCAGGGGTCGGATTTATAAAACTTGCGTACACACAATATGAGCCCAGAAACTTGCGTACGCCACTTTTCACGCAAAGGTTGTGATTTATAAAATCCRAACTTGACGTGAAAATGTGCGGTTCCTCACGCCAGCTTTGACCCATGCGTACGCTCATTTTGGAGACGGGAAACTGCGACACAG